GCACCAGCAGCGGGTGAGGGGCCAGGCTGCCGCAGAAAAAGCCCTCCATCACGCGAGGATGGAGCACGTCACACCCGTCTGCGTGGGGAGACCAGCCCCGGCCCTATTTCTGGTGAGCGCGGGGCCCCGCCTCATACGGCAGCGATGGCGCTCGTGCCTGCCGAGCGCTCCCGCGCGAGGAGTCCTCCCCTGACTCACCCCGTGCTGATGCGGCCCGAGCAGGGCTGGCTGCTCAAGCAAGCCAACAAACCAGCTAGGCAAGATCATTTCAGCACAAGCACACGAATAACTAGATATCTGAGAGTGGATGTATGACACAGGAGTGACACAGCCATGGGTCTTCAGGTGAGGAACAGCCTGGCCTGCCTTTGGCAGCACACATACCCTGCCACTGCTTTCACACCCAGCTCCTCCATCTCATCCAAAGCCACCCTGCGACCAGAAACGGTTCTGTCCTGCTTTGGTACATGAGGATGGATAAGGACAGACCCCAAGCAGGCAAATTCAAGCACCAAAGTGACAAGTGATCTGTGTAGCTGACTTGTATCCATGAGTAAGGGATGCAGTTTTGTTCCGAGTCAGCTGTAACACCGCAGCTCAGAGCACAGAAGCCAGAGCAACACTCCCCTGTACCTCGGGAGAAGAAGCAAGTGCTGAGAGGACAGGGAATTCAGGGAAAAGGCAGAATTTTTGGTTCTGGGGTGAGGTCCTTCAGCTGCCAAGAGCAGTGATGGGGCTCCAAGAATGGCACCCTGCCTCCACCACTGCAGATTTGGGGAGTGGGGGGTGAAAGCTGGGAAGGAGGAAAACACTGGAAGCCCAGAAGAACATTAATGTTCTCCCAAAAGCCCGTATTTTTGCGAAAATACTAGTAAGAAGTCTTAATCCAGGGCCATTTGTGGATGGCCAAGAAAAAGTAAAATGTAAGTCCAACTCCGTTACAACCCTGCTGGGGTAGGGAGGTGACAATATCCAGCCACAGGACACAAACAGCACTCCCTGCTCTTCTTAGGGAGCACACTTGGCCAGATGCTCCTGGAGACCGATACACTCAGTAACTTCAGCAACCTAGTAAGAAACACACAGGTAACAACTGGACCTCAAATTCCTCCTCAAAATGCCATTTTTATGTCACCAGAAGTTCTGTACCCAGTGCCCTTGCAGCTTGGGCGCAGCAATGGTCAGGGGCATCGCTCACAGCCTCTTGCTGCAAAGGCCAACGGCATCCAGGGAGTAACAACCACCTTTACTTATACAGACCAGGTTCATTTCCAACAGCAGTTTAAATAAAGGACATTGCTAAGGTCTGCCTATACACAATAGGAAGCGCGGTGTCTAATTTAAGACATGCCTGATTTAGTATGAGGTGCCACACTCAAGGCTGTGTGGAGAAAGAATGCTTCTGCTCAGGGACCCTGCATGAGGATGGGCAGGAGCAACTATGATGCTTTAAGAGACACAGCTCACACTGTGTCCAAGGCTTTCAGACCCTGGACCCAAGCAAGCAGCAACCGCCTGCTGCTTACAGCTCGCAAAAGCAATGCTGATAGAAAAAGGGCTTTCTCATCTCTCGGTTGCCCGCTGTTCCAACACCCAGATGCCCATGGAGAAGAGAGGAATCCCTCAAACCCTTTTCTAGAGCCCAGGCGTACGGGAGGGCAGCAGCAGCAAAAATGCAGAGCTTCATTTACAGAGCTTCGCTTTTAAAGGTACACCTTCCCAGAGCTGAAAGAACAAGCCATTTCACATTAAACTTCAAAAATCTGTGTCAAAACAGCTGCAATTGGCCAACACAGTAAAAGCACCAGACCCTACCGAGACAGAGAGGGCACAACAGCTTTACCCCTCCCCACCAGAGGTTAGGGATCTGAGCTTGACAGGAGATGTCCCAATCACAAGATCAACCTCAAGCACACTCCATTTCACTCTGGTAATGGTGAGTTCTGTTCTCTGGGCAGATCAGACAAGTAGCAGACGGTACAATACTTGTTTCAAACGGGGATGCAGGGTCTGGGAGGGGATGAGGAGGAGGACAATGCACTTACAAGTAAAAGATTTACAAAAAGAGTCTCTACATAACATCCCACCCTTGCAGGTTTGGGACAGGATCAGGCACGCATGAAAAAGCCCAGGCACTAGCTGTTCACAAAATCTAAGTTCCCTCATGCCAGGGGCTGGTCTCTGTCAGGGCAGAGGGAAAGCATGCTGGCAGAGAAGCGTGCCCGGTCAGTATGCGCACCCCAGCTGCGCCAGAGACAGAGGGAGTTTGACTGCCAAGGCTGTCAGCAATATTAGCAGTATCCAATTCACTCCGATTTCAAAGCTACTCCATCTGATTATCCAAAAGGCGTGTAGCTTCACAGAAGCAACAGAAGCAGAGACTATCAGAGCATATATTACTGTGAAAAAAACCCAGTATGTGACCTAATTCTTTAATTAGGAATGGGTGCAATCGCCCACAGAAGACAAGGGAAGGTTCTGAAAAATATTAGTTCAACGAGATTTCTTTTTCCAGAAAGAAAGACGGTGGTATTTGTTGTTATAAAACAGTGGGTACAGAGACAAACCTTTTACAGCAATAGCCAAAGTCACTGTTCTTTGGGTTCTATGCCTATATCAAAGAACCCCCCCCGTACACTCAGTTCACAATCATACTTATCACTCCTGCATCGCCTGCTTCAAAACAGTGGCCAAAACCATTTCTATCAGAAGACAATTCCAACTTTAACACTTCACTTAAACCAACAGCCCTGTTACACTCTTCATCCTTTCCTGCTTCATAAACGCTAACCCCAAGGAGCAGCTCTACAGCTCCCGGATGAGGCAGGTTCTTCAGGGACACAAACTCTCTTCAGGGAAGCCTAAAAGCGCCAAGCATCTCCTCGAAGGCAAACCGCACCAGCTCAGCCAGATACCCAAGGAGATGAACGATACCACAACCTTCTAGTTCCAGAATTTGCTGCTCTCATTTCACAAGCAGCCTGGCTTCTGAGTCACTACATCCCTGTAAATCTCTGTGGAGCAGGTGCACGCTTGCATCAGCCCCTAAAAAGCTGGCAGTAGCTCTGAGGACCGAGCACACAGTCAGAAGCTGAGCCACACCACTCCGTTATGCTCCAAATTCAGCCAGCTTCAACGTGGAGCATCGAGGAACACCCGACTCCGTCAGACTCTTGCTTACAGGCAAAACTAAGCACCACCTGCTCCAGCAACGATGCAGGGTCTGAACGGGACTGCCTCCATTGAGCCCTTGGGGATGTTATTTTGCAGGGAGGCTGGCGGAGAAAGATGACAGATTGAAAACCACCCCAGGACCTGCACCCTGCCAGGCCGTGTTACGCTTTAACTGCGGCGAGGGGACGCAGGAAATAGCACAGCGCCACTCCTTGGCTCTTAATTATGGTCTTGTGATATTGTAGTTAATGGTCTGTCATGGGCTGCACTAGAAACCTTGATGTGTGCAGGAGGCGGACCAAGCTGCGCTCCCGGTAGCCAGCTACCAAGGGAGAGAGCTCCTGCCCGGCAATAAGGCTCCTGCTCTTTTGTTACAGCCGCTGCTTCCTCTGGGCACAGCTGGGTCCTGGCGTTAACCCCTGCGGCGGCCACGGGCAACCAGCTCGGGGAGCTCCGCTGGGGAAGGGTCCAGCTGCGCTGCGGCATTCGGGATTACATCAGACCCCGACCCCTCCGCCCTCGCTCCAGCTGAATTCTCCTGCAGATCTCCACGGTCTGAAGGCACAGCCGTGGCCCCTCCGCCGCCA